AAGATCGCCAGGTTTAGGAAAAATTGATGTACAACAATGCCGATGCTACTAGTACACTTACGATAAGGAGTGCATTCCTGCCTATCTGCGTCTGTGCTGCTGCGCACTCGTCGTGAAACAGCAAAATTGCTTGAAATGTGACACAGGGATGTTTAGGTGTGCATTTCCCTTCAACGCGCCGAGGAGAGAAACTCTGGAACCAAATAGGTGGGGACGCGTTTGTGAAGAGAATAGTGCATGTGAAACAACATTAATACAATAACAAATATGAAAATAATTATTTCGACTAATCCGAGTTGAATGAGACTAGCGATCTAAATTAGAAAAAGGAAGTTACACGACTACACAGCTGTAGGCATGTGTGGATAGTACCCCACATATCAACGGGGAATTCACAATGAGTGGCGGTATTAATAATATTATTATGTAATATGGTCCGATGAATAAAATATTTGGTAATTTAATAATATTTGTGTACCTGGCAAATTAAAATAGAAAAACGTCAAGTTGTTTGTTCATCTGAATTAATCCACGCCGTGTTGCCTGTATGTAACAGCGGACCCGTGGAATACTGAACGGACTTTGGACGAGCAACGACCTAGTTAGCCCTAGGCTAGTAGAAAATGCGGTAGCACTGATTTATCATGATTCAAGTAACGGTGGTATTTATACAATCGCAACGGTGTGGGGAATGATTTACGCCGTTTGGTCGTACAATTCATGCCCGTAAGACGAAAATTCTTCGCTATGTTTCACTGAACCAGGACAAAATGTCATTGAATTCAGGTCGGAAATGTTGGATTTTGATCGATGTGTTGGGTTGGAATCCTGAAGGGTTTTCATTGCTACCAAGGCAATAGTTGCGTTTCGCTAAGTATGTACGAAGTTAAGAGCAGTAGTAAATATTGTTCATTTTGACTATTTTACAGTCGTGTACGTATAGTTGTTACATGTATGTATTCCGAGTGTCCATGAACTTTGTTCCAAATAAACAAAATTCTCTTGAATATTTCGCTACTCTATAGGTTCAGGACGAATTTCAGATTACATGGCATCTTCATCGTGTTTGGAAACATTATTATGAGTTAATAACATTAGGATACCGCCGGATGATTTTCTTTTTTGAGAAATGTCATAGAAACTGTTTTTTTTATGGTGAAATTATTTCGTTATATCTTGTAAATTTGTGTGGTGTCATTGGATAAAACGAAGTCCCAGATTATTATTGATATAAATCATTATACTATTGAAACTAATCAGTGGGTTTCCAGTGTGATAACAGTTTCCAATATTATACAATGGGAAATTCTCTTTCAATAAAGCATTATACGTAAATATACGTAATATGTTCAGTAGCGCAACATTTCACTTTGACTCGAACTCCCTTAAAAAACGTTCGAACTCGCATGACGCTTACCCGTATGATATATCGATTGACCCGATGCGCAGAATAGAGTGCGCAACACCCACACATGATACATTAGCAGATGACTTGTTATCCGTCATTTCATTAAAATACATAATTCAAAAAATAATATCAATCTCATATGCAACATTTTATTACGTTTTACAATGCCTCAAGGGCAGAATTTCGACGTGGATACACAGCCAGGGGGTCTAATTACTTTAATGCAACTACTGTAGAACACTTTATTTTTGCTTGGAATTTATTTTCGCTATTTTCCCTGAAGGGATGATTCCGTGAAAATAAAATCCAGCAAATATACTTTTTTTTACTATATTTCACATTAAACTCATCAAAAATCAATAAATTCCAAGCAAAACGCCCAAAAAGCCTTTTCAGCGAAAATAAAGTATTCCACAGTATGTGCCGAAACAAAGATTCAGTGCCTGTCATTCGATATGGTGCCGGTCTAGCCAATATATGATCACAGTCCCTCTGGGCTGTGATATGATACTGCTTTTGCGTTTCCGTGGTAACGCTTACTGTACGACAAGTGCTATAAAATATACGGGCAACGGAACCGATCATCTTTTAGAGATATTGATTTAATATTATCTCTCTGGGGCGATTAATTATTGAAAAATAATTATGCTAGAACATCAATATTGTAAGTACGTGACTACGTATTCTCCTTGCATTTGCCACGCCCACACACAAATGCACTATAAACGCGCTTTCTCATGCTTACGACCCCTCTACGTTTCCCGTCCTTTGACAGCTAAAAAAAGCACCAAGCTGCAAATACCAGTTACGATATGATAAATGAAAATGCTAGGATATGCATCTGAGTCAACCAACTGTTATTCATCAAACTACGGGAGCCAATAGTATCTGCAGATTCTTGGATTGAGAAATCTATGATACCAATTTCAATTCAATCATCGGTGACAGCCAGGGTCTTTGCTCCCCGTATACTGCTCATGTTCACTAAGTTCCGCACTAATTTAAAGTATTGCCCGGAGTAACATAAACTCTCCGTCGGATTGTAATGTTATATCCCGGGGCTTGGAAACTTGACCCGGGGTCGAATAACCCATGCGTTAGAGAATAACAGAGAACATGAATCGTAGGCTTGTTTCCCGCCCGTGTACGTAAATACTGTTACCATTGCGCAGTGATTCGTAATTCAAGAATTAACTAGAACGCGTGTTTCAATAGCTCGTTGACTCACAGAGTTCGCCTGTCACCTCTGTGAGTCATGAAGTAGTAAATAATTGCTGTTTATCGTGTAATTCACACAATGAATGGTTGCACGTTATCTTTGTGTCTATCGATAACGTGTT